TTTGAGTTAGGTTAATACTCGGTACGATTTTGGAATTTATCCTAAATATGTTTTATTTTGATTTCCCTAACATTAATTGGGTTTTATCTTGAAAAGTTGGTTTGCTGACATGAGTATCTTCTACAATTCTCAGATGCTGATGGTGGCCGTGCTCGAGTCCCTTAAGGATATGAACACTAAAAGCCCTCCACTTGAAGAAGTATCATCCATCGGTGGTGATAAACCTGAACCCAAACTATCACCAATCAATGGACGAGATGATTCTGTCCCCCAGCTCGACTCCTCAAAACCCGAGCCAACTTCCATGTCAGCAGCTGAAGAGAATAGTAAACCGGTGTCCGAGAATGCTCAACAAACTTGTGTTCCTAGTGACCCATCAATGCAGATAGACACAAACAGTAATAATCCAAAGGAGCCCTTCGTTGTATTTGTAAAGCAGCCACATCATTCAGGTGGAGAAACAAATGAGGCAGTAAAGACATCAGGTGATGATAAGCAGCTGCCTAATCAGGCTGATGTGGCGGACCAAACGACGGTCACCGTAAAAGTTGAGAAGAATCAGACAAGCGTGATGGATGGATTATTACGCCGTTGGGATCTCAGTTTTTTCCGTAACAGATAATTTTTGATTTTTTATATTGTTGATGTGATGGGAGATGATGAAGGACTAAGGTCTGTGCGTGGCAGAAATTGGTGAACAGGGTTTTGTGCTTTGTATGTAACATAGATGGTGGGATGGATACAGGAACAGGATGTACAAGGATTGTTGGAAGGAGTCATTTGTTTGTACCTACACATCAAATATTCTTTTCTTTTCTTTTTCTTTTTCTTTTNGTACAGGTGGTGCTGGTAATGTTTCTATTTCGTCGTGTTTGATCTTTACTTGGGTGATTTTATCAACTTTCAAGGAACTAAATTTTCTCAGTTTTTCATTTAATCACCTTGCCCTAGCAATAGAATGAAAAATCATCAAGGCAGCTTGACCGGAACAAATCTTGACAGTTCTCTTTGTTCTATTGTTATGCTCATTTCTCAATATTATCGATAAAGAAAACAGATGAAAAACAAGACAATGATAAAGTTCTCAGATCTCTACGACTTTGGATGCCCCACTCATGATCATCTACCCGCTGCATTTTCGTAGTTCTCATCTGTGAGGCTCGATACAAGGATTTCTTTTTAAAATGAGAGTAAAATTGAAATGCAGCATAAAAGTAGTAAATGGCTGATATGTATCGGGCGCTAATATGTAGTAAAATGGCTGATATGTATCGGGTGCTAGAAATTGGGCTTCAGCAGATTTTCAAATCTGAGCAGTGCCAACAAAATGCTATGATCACTGCCACATGAACAGAGGGAGGATATCAAAGCTCATCATTCCTGGCAAAACACACCATTAATGTGAGAGCATGCTTCTTTCACATGAAATCAATCCCATATTGTCAATGATGCTAGAGAGGCTGGCAAGCAGATCCGTTCACTCCATCCACTAACTTCCAATATCAGAAGTAATAGTTTTCCATGTTTTAGGATAATTTACATGGGAAGTATTGTTGAGCAGTTTCAAGTTCAGATTGGCTGGAGACCACCTCTGAGGTTGAGTTTAACTGTATCAAAAGCTCACCCATATTTGTACAGATGTGCTTTTGAAGTTTGCAATTAACTTGCCAATACCTCATCAAAGCTGCTCACAAATGCCCACTTTAACAGGACAGAAAGTAAATGCCAAGAGATCTACAATTTTTAAAGACCTTTTTCCCCCCTATTTATAGTTCATTGTCCAGTAAATGATAATAAGAGAAAAGCGGATGATTTACACAGAAAAAATGATCATGGACATCCATCATCAACTGCAAATGTAGAGATCACACGGAAAAGGGGAGAGAGAGAGAGAGAGAGAGAGAGAGAGAGAGAGAGAGAGAGAGAGAGAGAGAGAGAGTGTAAGAAAAAACATTGTACATCATTGCAAAGTCATAACATCAAATATTCAAAAAGATAGCATCTTGACCTGTTTCAACAGCCCACACCAAAAAGAATTGACTTAATTAATCTAAACAGCAGCCCTCCTTTGGTTCACTTTGGCCTTCTCAGCATCAATGATGGAGTCAATCAACCCAACCGCACTCTCCATTCCTCCTTCTTCATTCACAACCACATAATCAAACTCCTTAAGATGCCTCAACTCCTCCCTAGCCGATGCCACCCTCGTCAGCAAAGCCTCGCTCGTCTCCGTTTTCCTACCTATCAACCTTTTCACCAAAGCCTCCTCACTCTCCGCCACCAAGAACACGAAAACAGCATTATTCCTCAAAACCCTCCTCAAACTCGCTGCACCTTGCACGTCCACCCTCAACACAATATCACACCCTTTCCCCATATAATCCCTAATCTGCTGCTTCGGGACTCCCTTGTACTCTCCGTACACCAAGGCGTACTCCAACAGCTCCTCCCTATCAATCATTTTCAAGAACTCGTCTTTCGTCACGAAATAGTAATCTTTCCCGTCAATTTCGCCGGGTCTCTGGGCCCGGCTGGTGGCCGTGACCACGAAGTGGAGGTCACGCCGTATTTCCCTCAGCCGGTTGATGACGGAATCTTTCCCGACGCCGCTGGGCCCGCTGACGACGATGATGAGGGGGCTAGGGTTCGGGACTATGGGGTCCGAGCTGAATGAGGTGCCCAGGGAGGCCTCGAGGGCCCGGAAAACCTCGGCCCGGCCCGCGTGAGCCGGGTGCGGGATCGGAGGTGTTGGGGCGTCGTCCATTGTGGGGCTTGTGGAGTAGAACGAAGCAGGGGTCCGTGGGTTCGCCGCCGAGGGCCTCCGAAACCCTAATTTTAGGGTTTTGGAGTTCGACGGATGGATTGGAGGAGATCGACAACTAGGAAAGGGAACTGTGAATTTGAGGGGAGAGAGTGAAGGGATTGCGTGGTATTTGGATATGGAGAAGCAGAGCCTCCGGAACACCATGGAAGGTACAAAAGTGAAGGCGTTTAGTTGACAGACTTTTCCAGTTGTTTCTGGGTTCTCACGCTTTGAGGCTGTACAAAAGCAAAGGCGACTCCATTTTACATTTACTTGAGATTTTAGCAAATCACCTTTTGTTTAAAGAAAATAGTAATTATGATTATTAACTAGTATTTGATCCTGTGTAAATACACAGATATAAAACATATTTTTGTTTGTATTTATTAATTAGACATGTACTTCTATCATATACAAATTATTACTTTTTCTTAAGTTATTTTTATCATTCAAAATTAATTGAGATTTAAATTTTACTTTAACCCTGCAGCGTTTACATTAGTAACATGAATAAAATAATTTATATATTTGTAACATATATTAAGAAAATTAACATAAATAAAAAAATACTATTGTTATTTCTGATTTTTAGAAGAAAAAAAATATGTGTCAATCATATTTTTCTTCCTACAATGCAACCAAATATAGCAGTTACAACTCTGAATGTGTCAATCAACTTTAAGTTCCAACATTAGTCGTTACACATTTGAATATTTTGCTACCAAATTTAGAATTAATTTAGTAACTGATCCACAAAATAAATAATAAAAATATATATATTAAGGTGTAACGGTTTTAGCAGATTAATGAATAATTAATAAAAAAAATGTAACTCCTTTTGGAGGAAAATGAAAATAGGTTTTATTAAATGTTTTATTAAATGCATCAACTAATAATTATATATGTAGATTCTTCTAGAAATAAAAAATAACATGTAATTGTAGGTGTGAGTTAACTGCCACATATATCTAGATTTTAAATTAAAAATAAATACTGAGACGACACAACAAAAAGAGTTGAAAACACAAAGAGTTGGATTCCTCTCGTATGAGGGCAAAGATTCTCCCATGGAGCTCGACTTCCTCTCAGTCAGGCTGAATTTTTTTACATATGAGTCACTCTTAGTAATCTCAGGTTTCTGTGCTCTTCCCCTTTTTCCATTTCCTCTTGTTTCCATTTGCTTTTCCCCTCCCCGTCATTGTTTTTCCTAGTTTAGGGTCTGTCTTTCCTTGGTCTTCTTCGACTGTGCAGGCGTCCTAACTCTTCCCCCTGCAGTAGCAATCTAGTGTTCGGCATGTAGGAAGACGAATTATCAGAAAAATTGGGGGGATTATCAATTATTAGAAAAGGAATGTCTCATTATCCCCCTTGCCTCGGAGGATATTCAATTCAACAAAGATGAATGAGCCAGAAGCTTTTTTAAAAGGTTGTGGTCACAAGAAAGTGCATCTTATCGGGCTACAACGACCCCTAGCTCAAATTTGGCAAATTAGGTCACCGGACTACTAGAGAACTCAACACAAATTACTTCCAATTTATGTTTGATAACCTAGAGGACAAGGTGAAAGTGTCAAAAGGGATCAGCTGGACCTTTGACAACCAATTTCTCAACCTAAGGGAATGAAGGGAACACATCTGTGACACTCACCAGGAATTTAAGGAACTTGACATTTGGGTGCAAGCTTGGAATATTCCCATACACTGGATCTTGGCTGAAGTAGGGTTAAAGATTGGAAAGGCCTTAAGAGGATTAAAGATGTAGTGGTACCTCAAAGTGGAGCCCTTGCAGGAAAGTGTCTACGACTGTTGGTTTCTATTCACATTGAGCAACCTCTTTTCAGGTTTGCTTGCGTGCAGGTGGAAGGGAAAAAAATAGTTGTCCAGTTCAAATATGAAAGGCTTGAAGGTCTCTGCTACTACTGTGGCTTATTGGGGCATCTTGATAGAAGTTATGAGAAAAGATCTTTGGATATTAGTCAAGGTACACTAAAAGAAGGCACTTACGATGATTGGCTTAGAGCTTCTGAAACCATTTTCCAAAACACCCAGAGTTATACTAATTCACAATCAGATGCCCCTCAAAGCTTTAGTTCCCAGAAAAACAGCCTTCTTGACTCAAACCCATTTGTCCCTTCTGAAACAACCCAGCATCATCCCTCGTCACCACAAACTACTGTATCCACCAAAGGCTTACTCACTGAATCTAACACTCGAATAGAAACTCCCCAAATTTGTACTAAGTCCTTTACCTCAAGCTTCCCAGAAAAACCAACCTCTCATATCCTACTTGTTATAGCCATAGACACATTAGATCCCATGGAAGCTGCAGCCACATTGAACTTGGAGCTAACAGTGATCACCACATTAGATGAGACTGAAAAAGGAAAGAATCAGACCAAGGTGCATGAAGATAAAAGTGTTTCTAATACTAGTAAAAGATGGAGAAGGAAACTAGGCCCCAAGGTAACAAGCACTTAAAGTTTAGTTCCTACTCTGAGGTTAGCAAAAAACGAAAGACAATTCCACACTTCGGAAGAGTTTGAGGAACAACAAATGCAAGTTCATGATAATTTGTCCCAAGAAGAGCAGCTAAGTCAGAAAAGGCAAAAAAACAAGTGACTCAGGGTTGAGGGTGGCCAGCACAAAGTGGCCCCAAACTGACCACTGAAGACACTGATGTGTCATTATAGAGGACTGAGCGTGCCCTCTACAATCTCCTAGCTCAAGGAGTCTTGGAAACTCCACCACCCAGTTTTTGCTTTTATTTCAGAAAAAAAAAATAAAAATTGTCCAGACTGTTAGTAAAAGGCTAGGATTGAGAGATAGATTGTCTACTATTGAGCCTGAAGGAAAGAGTGGAGGCTTATTACTCCTTTGGGATGCTGATGTGCATATTTTCCAGATAAAAAAGTCTTCTTTCTGCTTCCAAATGGAGTTCTGGGATGAGAATAAGGACAAGACTTGTTGGGCAATCTTCATATATGCTAGCACCAACAGCCAGAATAGACATGAGCAGTGGAAATTCTTGATTCAGGAGTAGACCAACTGGGGAGATCACTGGTTTGTAGGTGGAGATTGGAATGAAATCACCTGCCCAGAGGAGAAGAAGGGAGGCAGAACTAGACCATTATCCTCTTTTAGTGGTTTTAACAGCTTTATATCCCTTATGGGAATGCGTGATCTAGGGCTTCAAGGACACAACTACACATAGGCCAATAACAGACAAGAGGGAGGGTTTGTTGAAGAGCAACTTGACAAGGTTTTCTGCTCACTGGGTTGGACTTCCCTATACCAAAATCCAATATTTTTCAACACCTTCTTGAGCTCCTAAGACCATGGGATGCTTATCTTAAGTTCAAGCCCTGAAAATAAGAGCAGCAAAAGGAGATTCTCTTTTGATCAGAGATGGCTTCAAAGAGATGGGATAGAGGAAGTGGTAAAAAAAGCTTGGAGTCATTTCCAATTGGGCACACCAATGTTTTGTTTTTAGTAGAAAATCAAAGGGGTTAGAATTGACTTTCTTAAGTGGAACTACAACTTTAGAAAAGAGATGCCAGAAAAATTGAATCTCTTCATAGAAAGTTGACAGAGCTAAGGTGGGAAAGGGGTCTGAGGGAGTAGAAACTGTGGGATGACATCCAAAAGCAACTCAATGAAGCATATAAATTGGAAGAATAGTTTTGGCACCAAAAATCCAGGATAACATGGCTGAAGCATGGTGACAAAAACACCAAGTTCTTTCATGCTCATACTGCCGAAAGAAGATGAACTAACAAAATCTCGAGGTTAATTAGAGAAGATTCCCCAGTTTGTGATTCAAAGGATGACATAGCTCAATGTATAGAAGACTTCTACACCTCTCTGTTCGCTTTCAAAGTAACTTCTGGGGCTGACTCAAGTTAGAGGAATTAACTCCTGTGATTTCAGATGACTTGAATGCTGAACTAGTTGCTACTGTGGATGAGGAAGAAATCAGGGCAGCTCTCTTTTCAATCTCCCCTCATAAAGCCCCGGGACAAAATGATATGACTTTCCTTCTTTTCAACATTTCTGGTCTCTTATACAAAAATGACCTTTGTCTCTTAGTTCATAGTTTCTTTCAGTCTGATAAAATGTTAAAGAGCATAAACTCATCATACTTGTTGATGCTCGAAAATTAATCAACATGGGGGGTTCAGAGGAATTTATTGTGTATTTTTTGTATTTGATTTTTCGGTGATTTTTTGAGGATTTTTCTGTATTTTCCCCCTCCTCCCCTTATTGACGAAATCAAGTAATAAGATTAAGAAGGAGAAAGGGAATAGAGGCGGTGCCTCCTCTCAAATCAGAGAAAAAAATAGTATTAGCCCCCTCAGACTTATCTCGATGATGTCCATCATCGGGGTATTTATATATATGTTTAATGGCCCGATATTATCACAAGCGGTATTATTTTAGAGCCCAAAATTAAAATAATTAATATAATACATATCCACGTGTAATATTTAATAGGCGAGGCCAAAATTTGGTATCAACAATACTCATTCCAAAAGTGCATAAACCTGAAACAATCTCTCAGTGTAGGCCCATTAGTTTATGTAGCGTTGTTGTAGTTATTTTTACCGGAATAGAATCGAACACCGGTAAAAATAACTACAACAAATTGGCGCCATTTTGTTGTAAATATTTTTTACCGGAGTAGAATCAAAAGATTCGAACACCGGGTCGTGTCTCCCGAGGAAGGTTAGCCGGATTATTATGCACGTTTATTCAAACACAAATAAAAGAAATAAAATTCCTAAACATTCTAACTCAGATTTTGGTTTGATTTTTAATTAACAACTACGAAGATAAAAACGCATATTCAGAAAGCAGAGTAAAAGCAATCAATCAACTAGAATAAGGTAGATGGGGAATCAGGGATAATAATCTTGATTCGATATCCAATTATCGGGCAAGTGATTGTTTGGTTAAGTGATTTGAATAACCTGTTCGTTCAAGTACTCATCCTCAATAACTCTTCGTAACAAGAGAATAAACATGAACGACAAATTAACAAGTCATTTAACACCTAGGCAATACAGTTATGAACAAGCCTAGCTTATACGAGCCTATTCGACCGACTCCTCCCCTTTCGGTTCTAAGAGTCGATTAATATAGACTAGAGGGTGATTAACCGACTAATCAATTAGAATACCCAACATCATGCAAGAATAAATCGAACTCAATTGAAAATCAATTGGAAGTTTATGTGTCACCTTCAACAATCCTCAATATTCAAGTACGATAATTGAAAACCCTTTTAAAAGATCAACTCGTATAAGAAGAACGATCAACGAACACGACAATCACAATCGAAATCAAATCATTAATCCCCTATCCCTAGCATAAGGATATAGCTATTCATAATCGAATAATCAACACAAGCAATCTCAACCCAAGAATTCATATTTAACGATGAAATTAAAAGAAAATATTACGATTGATAAATCCCAAAGTTGAATCTGATAGACAAGCTTAAATCCAAAAGAAATAATGAAATCCGAGTTTAAATCCGTGTTCTACATTGAAAAAAAATGAACAAAATATGAAAAGATCGAATAAAGAGACGATGGATGTAGGGTTTCTATTCTGCAGTCGAGAGATAAATTCTGTCGAAGACCCGATCTCAAAATATATAGAGGAGCAGTGTCGGGCCATGCCAAGAGATGCCGCACCGTGAAGGGTTGTAGCTGGGCGCAAGTGTCACGCCGTGAAGGGCATGCCGCGACGCGAGAGGTAGAAACTGGACGCAGGTGCCACGCTGTGAGAGAAGTGACGCGGCGTGGAAGGAGCTGGTGCCACGGCGTGGCTGGACCTCGCGGCGTGAAGCTGCTTGGGCTGCGTTCTTTATGTGCGTGATGGGTGCCGCGGGACGCACCGCGGTGTGGAGGAGGAAGACTGTGATGAGGGATCGTGCGTCTCACCAACTCGACGTGCTCGAAACCCGCGCTGACACCTTGGTTCCTTCGCGATAGGTTCTAATACGCGCGCCAACGCCTTCGTACTTCGCGATTTGTGAAAGAAAATCGGATGTTGGTTCTATTTCTAACACGATCTAGTTTGTATACTCACAAGACAATTTGAACAAGTGTTCGATTTTAATTAGTTTTTCATTGATTGCATAATTCGAATGACAATTGTGCATATTTATAGAGGCTTAACTAGTTCTATTCCTATTCGAACTAGAAGTCCTAATGCATAAAAATAAATAAAGTGCTAAGGTAACTAAATATCTAATAAATAAAAACTTATCAAATCTAAGTAGGCACAAGCCTTTTATTCGAAATCCTAACCAAACCATTACTCCTAATAAGCGAAGTAAATTGGCCCTAGGCCTTCTAGAAGATCCTCGGTCCTTTGCTTACGCGGCACTTCACCCGAACCCTAGCCGTCGTGCGCTAGTCCTTGTCTTGCACGGTCTCGGGCCCGGTCGCTCCCCACGCATCCCACGCGTCTTCTGCCTTGCGCCCCAAGTTGCGCGGTTTTACCCTAGGCGGCGCTATACTCATACTCCTAGTCTGCCAAGGACTCGTGCTCGCCCGCCCCAGCGCGTCCCGCACGTTTTTGCGCGCGCTCCACGCACGCGCACCCTCATCCGCGCGTCGTCCTGCCCGCGAGTGGTCGACACAGGAATTCTTCCTCGGTAGCTAGCTCACCAACCATGTCCCTTGTCCCAATCGTCTATTGCTCGGTCGACCCATGCGCTAGCCGTCTTTCGCGAGCCATCCTAACTCTTCGCTAAGTCCCCGTCAATGTGTCGTCGTGCCGTCTCGCACATCTCGTTCCGGCGCGCTTTGTCATACGATTCACGCGTATCGCGTGTCCTCGCGCTGCATGCTTTCCTCGCGCGCGGCCATCATTAGCCTCTCTCGCACAGCCCCAATGCTCTTCTCGTCCATTATCGCGCCCCTTGTCGCGGTTCATGCTTGCCTCATCCTCGGGCTCGGAAGGGTCGATGACCATATCTTCATCACTCCTGCCCTCTTTAGGAATTTCCTTGTCCTCAAGGATAATGAACTTGAGACTCTTTAGCTCGACCGGCTCGGTTCCCTCATCACTAGTACACAACTTAGTTCGCTTTTTTGCTCGCTCGAACTCCATGGTCCCCTTCTTGTAGTCGGTCGTCATGGGCCCTAGCGTCTCCAACCATTGGACCCCTAGTACTACATCAAGTCCGACCAACTCTAGCGCATATAGATCCACTTTCAGCTCCTTCCCTTGCACTTGTATCGACACCTTTTTATATAAGGCCGAACTCTTAAGTTCCTCGCCATTGGCGACTCTCACACCAAAGGGCACGACCCCGGTCATTGAGACCTCAAGCTTCGCGGTAAAGTCCTCGTTGATAAAGTTGAGGGTCAAACCACTATCGACTAATACGTTGACCTTACGCCCTAGGATCTCCGCCTCAAACCTCATCATCTTAGGCCCTCTCTTTGCCTTGATCATATGCATAA